TTACTGAGACTATTGTCACGCACCTTGATATGGGTCACAAAGTTGTTGGAGTTTTCCTCGATTTGTCGAAGGCATTCGACACTGTATCAATACCATTACTATTGAAAAAGCTGGAATTAATAGGTGTACGCGGAGTCGTCTTGGATATATTTTGTGACTATCTGTCAAATCGCTCACAGTGTGTCAAATTAGGTAACTACCAAAGTCTGGATGTCAATCTCTCTTACGGAGTACCACAGGGCAGTGTACTGGGTCCAACCCTCTTCCTAGTGTACATCAACAACTTGTGTAAACTTTCGTTACCGAACTGCAAAATTATCACTTATGCAGATGATACAGCGTTGATTGTGCATGGTGAGGATTGGGCTCGGGCTCAACAATACACTGAAAAAGCCCTCACTGAGGTAATGAGATGTTTGGACGAAAATTTGCTTACGTTAAACTTAAAAAAGACCAAATACATAACTTTCACCCCACGGGCCAATACTCAACCATCCATTGACTTTTGTATAAGGGCACACACTTGTGATAGAATAAATAGTTGCTGCGACTGTCCTCAGTTATCACCAACACATAGCTTAAAATATCTCGGTCTGATTCTAGATAATCATCTTAATTGGTCATTACACGTTAAATCATTAACAGCCCGAATTAGAAAATTAATTCCTATCTTTTACCTACTTAGAAAATCTGCTGATCGTGACACGCTAATGTGTGTTTACTATGCGCTTGTCCAATCTTTGCTCAAATACTGCATTGTCTCATGGGGTGGAACTAGCATTAGTACACTGCTTCCCCTGGAGCGTGCTCAGCGTGCAATCTTAAAAGTAATTTATAAAAGACCGCGTAGGTATAGCACGTCACTACTCTACCGTGAATGCTCAGTTCTTACGGTAAGAAAACTCTTTATCTTCCACACTATACTTCGTAAGCATCTAGGACTGCCATACGTTCCAACTCAAAAACGTAATAAGAGCAAGGTTTGCACAACACCTCCACACAGAAGCACTATTGCAAAACGGCATTATTTTGTTATAAGTTCCCATCTCTATAACATCGCAAATAAAGCTTTAAATATTTACCCTTTAACCCTTCATCAATGTAAATTTGCTACACGGGATTGGTTACTGAATTTAGATTTTGACGAGATAGAAAATATTATTCGGATTAAAACCCTTCAATAAAACACCTTAATAGACTCTCTCTCTCTCTCACACACACACACACACACACACACACACACACGCACACACACACACACACACTTACATATCCCACACATCCAATTACTCAAAACCCACACTACAAATTCGTACAAACATAATACTCCCCCATGCATTCACGCTCCGCGTTTATAATTATACTATACATCAAACACACCAAGTGGTAATCTTGCTTAAATTCTATTTTGTTTTGTATCTACCTACATGTTATAATTTTTAATTTTTATTTTAGCTTGAAAAGATTGTAAATATTATTTGTTGAGAAATGTTGTAAAAGATCTTACCTATTAGGTTATTATTTGATTCCCAGAGTGGAAGGCGCAGGCAGCCGTGGCACAGTTTATACTAGTACGGCTGCCGACGTTAACCTCTCAATGTAATTGATGCTACTTTTATTTAAATAGTGTAAGTCACGATGTAAAATTTGTGGAGTGAATAAATATTATTATTTTATTTATTAACTTATAGAGAAATATGTGAAGCTCTGCATCTTTTAGAAAACGATAATCACTGGGATGAAACCAGGGAGGAAGCTGTGCAGTGCCAGTCATCAACCAACATTAGGGATCTTTATGCAACTCTCATATCATCTTGCAGGTTATCTAATGCACATGAATTGTGGGAAAAATATAAAGAGTACATGGCGGAAGATATTTTGCGAAGGTTACAGCAGACACACGAGAACATGACATACAATGAACACATTTATAATGAAGCACTTGGAAAAAATTGAAGATAAAGTAATGGCAATGGTAGGCAAAAAATTAAGCAACTTTGGAATGATAAGCCCTCAGCGAACAACCGAAAAGATGAAATTATACGTGAAACAAACTACGATATACCACCTTTGCAGCAGCAAGTAGCCGAATTTGTACCCCGCTTGCTTCCCGAACAAAAACGAATTTTTGACAAAGTATTAGGACAAAGTGAGTCTGGAAATGGTGCACTTTTCTTTTTAGATGCTCCAGGAGGAACTGGGAAGACATTTTTGTTAAATTTATTATTAGCGCAAGTACGGAAAGATTTTATTTCACATTGCTGTGGCCGTAGCTTCCTCCGGTATAGCCGCCACGCTGCTAAGCGGGGGCCGCACTGCACATTCTGTTTTAAAACTCCCTCTAAATCCAGCCCAGGAAGAACCGCCGATCTGCAACTTAAGCAAAAATAGTGTACGACGTATAATGCTACGACAATACAAACTTTTAGTGTGGGACGAAAGTACAATGTCGCATAAAAAAGCTGTAGAAGCACTAAATCTAACGCTCCAGGATTTGCGCAGCAATACCGATGTAATGGGAGGAATGGTGGTTTTACTGGCTGGTGACTTTCGCCAAACTTTACCTGTCATTCAAAAGGGCACACCTGCAGATGAAATAAAAGCATGCCTCAAGTCGTCTATTTTATGGAACAAGGTGACAAAATTCAGTTTAACTACGAATATGAGAGTGCATTTGTATAATGCTATCAATGCTGGAAAATATGCTGACACACTATTAAGAATTGGCGATGGGCGGTTGGAAACGGATGCTGAGGGCTGCCTTAAATTGACTAGAGATTTTTGTAATTTAGTACAGTCATTCCGAATTAATTGCGAGCGTTTATTCAGATTTAACGAACAATATGCATGAAGACAAATGGTTATGTGAAAGGGCGATTCTTGCACCAAAAAATGAGAGCGTTAACAAAATAAATTCAGATATATTAAGCGAAGTAGCAGGAAAAATAACAGAGTATTTGTCAGTAGACACAGTTATGGACACAGAACAGAGCACTTCATATCCCGTAGAGTTTCTAAATTCTCTAGAGTTGTCAGGTGTACCCTCACATAAGCTTCAATTAAAATTAGGCCTCCCAGTCATGCTAATGCGAAATTTAGATGCTCCTCGGTTATGTAACGGGACAAGGCTGCGTGTGACACACCTTGGACGGAACATAATCGGTGCTACAATTTTGAGTGGCGTAGGAAAAGGTGAAAATGTTATTATACCACGAATCCCTATAATTCCCACAGATCTTCCTTTTCAATTCAAAAGGTTGCAGTTCCCTATTAAGCTCAATTTTGTAATGACAATAAAGCGCAAGGGCAAACGTTACAGGTAGCGGGGGTCAACTTAGAAAAAACCGTGCTTCTCTCATGGTCAGCTGTATGTAGCATGTTCGCGTGTGTCAAATGCCCAGAATCTCCACATTCTTTCCCCAAATGGAAAAACATATAACATTGTGTACAATAGCGTCTTAAAATAGTGTTCAGTTAGTTTTTTCCAAAATTCCCACAATCAATTAATCAGAATTCCCACAGATCTTCCCTTTCAATTCAAAATTTCCTATTTAGCTCAGTTTCTTTTCAATTCCAAATGCTGCACCTCTGACGGACCTATTAAGCTCAGTTTCCTTTCAACTCAAAAGGCTGCATCTCTGATGGATCTTTTATTTGGCTCAGTTTCCTTTCAATTCAGAAAACTGTATCTGTTATTCTATAAAAAAAAAATTCAACATTTAAAGTCCAATGTTGAACATAGGTCTCTCATATATTTCTTTCTCATAGATCGAATATTTGCTTTACGTTTCGTTGAATATTTGGAAACGTATGACAAGTAGTAGATGAATGTATTATATACGTATTCATAATGTATGGTTAAATAGTAATTTTTGGAGCTGGCTGGTTATTATTCGGAAGATGCTGCTGCCAATGTCCTGTTTCGATGTGCCTGGGGGACACTTATGGGACGACACAACACAGTACATTTCTTACGGCTCCACTAAATAGCGTAACGGAAGCCACATTTGTAACCAACGACATGGTTTATAGCTGCATATGTGTGCAGTGGATTTTAAAAGACTAATAAAGAAAAATCTAGGTACGTACATTACTTCAAGTTGTGTTGCCAGTCCGTAACGTAGTTCTTCACTGCTGTGTGTATGAGGAAACTAAAATCCATTCAGAAAAGGAAAAAGTGGACTAAGCTTGTAATTTCTTTGCGTGATAAAATTCCGGAACGAGAATATCCGCAGAACAACAAGAGTAATATAGCCCAGTGATTCAGTAGGCTGAAGTGGCAGTGGACCGCGCCATATGGCTCGAAGAACTGACAACCTATAGGGAAGAAAGCAACTGGCAAGCTTAGTGTTGAGCGATCCACTAGTTAAAGTGAAGAGCTGATGCAGGTTGCTCAGGACTGTACTTTTTGGCAATCGTTAATAGTAGCCTACGCTAAGTATTGGACTCATGATGGGCTATATAGTGAATGTGTGTTAAGAAATTAAGCATATTTTTGGCGTAACTCAAAATGTTCGCAGCGTTGCGTCTACTGGTAGTTTTCTTATTAGTCTGCCACGTATAAAGTGACCGGCCCGTTGTCACTGTATTACGTGCAAAGCTATTTTTATATTATAAATCTAATCTATCAGAGTAATATCGGGCATAGCTCTTTGTATTATACAAAATATTTATAGTAATTTATTTTAAAACTCCCACTGGGTTTCGTACTAGTTTTCCCCAGGACAGACGTTTTTAGATAACCTATAGGTAATCGGCGGTAAAGCTTAATTAAATGACTTTCAATTTGTATATTTGTTATGTGTATTGAATAAAAATTATTCTATTCTACTGCTCCTAGAGTAGTTTTAAACTTGTGAAACCTTATTGTCAATATCTGTAATATTAAGCTCAACTCTGTTTTTTTTTCATCTGATGCTTAATGCCTTTTTGAGAAAATTAATCAACCTTAAGACGGTGCGTATCATTTTGATACTCAAAATAATGTTGTTATTTTGCAGCCGGATTCCCAAATATATAAGGACGCAAAGAGGCTAGAGGAGTTCTTCGACGCTCAGCTGCTGAAGTGGCTGCCGGAGTTCGCTTACTGGAGTGGAGAAGGGGAGCCGCCCGCCAAGAGAGCCCGCCTTGAATGACAGCACGCCCCCCAAGCATCGTACGCAAGCCCCGCCGGCCACGCCGCGCACGCACCGCACGAGCCCGGCGCCGGGCACGCGGCGCGCGCCTTCATGCCGCCCCCCGCGCCCCCCGGCCCGCTCGCCCACCACGGCTCCCTCTACCTGCCGCATTAGTGCCAGCACAACTTGAACATCAGCCCAAAGGCAAATTTCAATGTCAAAGTGAAGCCTGGTGAAGCTTAGTGAGTGTCGATCTTAAATGTTTACCTTCTAAACATAGTGAAATTTCAACTTGAAGCCTGGTTAAGTATGGTGTGCGTGCCTGTCAAAGTTTACCTTCTGAGGATGCTGCAAGATTCAATTGTGACACCATAGTGAAGTCTCACGCTGCAGAAACAGGCAATGGTATATATTTAATGACGCAAATGTGAAAATATTGAAGACATATGAAACATAATAACATTGTAGTGTGTGCGATGCACTTTTCAACAACAATAAAATTTAAGTGGTTTTTAGAACAGATAGTGTAACTTTTTTTGGAAAGCTTGATAGTTCCTTTGTGAATTGTATGCAGCATGACAACATAATTTAATCGTAAAAACGAAAAATTCAAGTGTAAGAAATTCGGTAATGAATCCAAGTTAACTCGTATTTTGTATCTTACAAAGTAAAACGGGCTACACACGAGACGATATCGGTGGCGATCTAGGGTGGAAAGAAATCGGGGCTTTTATCGGGGCAGACCCTACACGGGCCTGCCTAGCAGTACGCGTTCGGACTTGGAGCGGAACACATATGCGGTAGAGTTCTTCAAAATAGCTTCAACTCTCTTAAAACACCAATGTATTGGTTTGGCATTAGCCCTCTCGGTAAATTTATTCGAAAATAGAAAAAGAGGAGTTGCTGGGTGAAAAAATGGCTCCAAAAGAGACAAAAATTAAGCCACATAAACGTACTAAATGATCTGTATTCCAAAGACATGATTAATTTTCTCCGGATGGATGAAGACAGTTTTTATAACCTTCTAGAAATGATTTCTCCACTTATATAAAAACATCAATTTCTCCTATGTACCTATGCTATTTAGTTATTTCTTCTCTTTGTTCATTTCTGCTTTGGTCAAAATCTGGTTATGTATTACACACAACAAACAAGGAAATAAAATACTTTTGTATAATAATATGTATACTTTTTTTTAATGTAATCTTTATTTATGGAGTAAAACTATCAGAAAATAAAATAGCTTATATCTTTTTTTAAACATAAAGAAACCTTTAATTTCGGACATACTCCCTTTTATATAACTTGTTTGTTGATGTGGAGATGGTGAAGGAGTAGAAGTTAGTTGTTTATAAGAGGATGAAGGCACGTAAGAGATCGAATTGTGGTCTTGTGGAGTTGTAAGAGATATGAGTGCGGTCTTGTGTTGATAGTGATGGAATAGGAGTTAGTTGTTGAGGAGAGGCTTTATCTTCTCCTTACTTACATCATACACTCTACTTTACGAACGGCAATAAAAAATTAGTTTAGTAGGCATTCTTGACCATGTCACTTCGCAGGGTCACAGGCTAGGGTGGATATGATTTGAATTTCGATAAAATTTCATTTAATTTATTTATTTTATTCACTTTTTTTTTTTGGTTTTTTGTAAAATATCAGTGCCATAGGCTTCTGCTCCGTTTATATGATTAAAATGTAAAAATTTTGTTACATAAAAAAGGTCATTCAGTATCACTGTTTTGTTAACTTCCTTCCGCGAGGGTTGCCGGCAGCGACTGCCAAAAGAAATCGGGCCGATGCGCCTACACACACGCAGTAAGGAGGGGGCGGTGCCCCGATCTAGGAAGCATCGGCTGATCTAGGAAGCATTTTTGCTCCTGCCAGCCGATTAAGGAGGCGATATCGGCTACGACTTAGGATGGCTCTACATACGACACGATTTAGAGGCAATCTAGGAGGCATCCCCACTACTCCACCCTAGATCGCCACCGATATCGTGTCGTATGTAGCCCGCTTTACGCCTATTAATAATTATGATAATATTAAATTTGATTGCGGTTGAACCGCCTCTCCTTCTGCATGTTATCAATTGTATGTATGCAATTTAGATTATGTCTAGCAATAGAATAAATAGATATAAGTATATTGCACTCTTTAATTAATATTATCCTTAAATAAATAAATTCCACATTTTGTTATCTTCACATCAGTTTGCTTTAACATTTAGCTATGATTGACTGTGATATCATGGATATATTTCCGTACCATTCGGTATGGGACACCGATGCATTCTCGACACTTGTTTGGTCGTTCGACAAATTATTTATTGTATATGTTGACTCATGATTACTTTAGAAGTATGACTATAAATGTAATGCACAAATATATAATTTACTGTATTGTTAAAATATTTTACGATGGTTATAAAAACGAAACATTTTTCCTTATTGTTGCAAACAAACAATGTTAAGATTCCACAGAAAGTTTTTAAGAACATTGAGATTTAGCTTGTAATCTGGATATAATTAGGAAGTAGGTAAGAATCAGTATGATAATTCTGAATCCAGAATCTAAGTATAAGTTACACTTTCTACTATTATGTACTATATCGAAAAGACTTTAAAAACTGCCAAGAAACTATCTCACAGCTTCAACGGAATTACCGTGAATTTAAGTTCAATTGAGTAGGTAGAATAATTTAAAAGCACTTATTATGAGTGAGATGGAATGATGTCAAATGTTCTCTTTGGAATACAAAAATACGGAAAAAGAACTCGTTTTTATTAGAATTGAAATGTAATGATCATACCTGAGATATAATATATTTTTAAAGGATATAATTGTTTTTGCATTACGAACTTTATTTCTAATAAAGGCCACGAATGTTATATCGAACACGACGCCATTTCAAATGTTATTATTTAAAAAAAGTTGAACCCATTTTTCTAGATGTTCATTTTTAATGTTATTGATGGATGTAAATTGTGTTGAATCTGAGATCTAATGTGGTGTTAGTGAATTGAGGGTTTGTTGCAGTACTATTTACAGTTTTTGGATCCAGAAGCCGTCAGCGCTACTGCAGGCGAAGTGTTAAGTAGGCTGGTGGAGAATCTGGTCTCTACGTACTTTAGATAATCTCCTAAAGAGTATTACTTTATTAGAAATAAAATACCATTTATTGGATTTTGAAGTTTTATTTTACAACTTAATTATATGCGTTGCACGTAACAATATATCTGTATGCGCTTTTGAATTCCATATAGGACATAGGCATTTACAAGTGCCGGCAAGAGATACTGCATAACTATAACCAATGTTTCCTACAGTTACACCTCGGTTAAACAGGTACTCTGCATACACAAGCTTCATCAGCTCTCTGACTTTAGTTATTGCCCTGAGCACACAATACCTTTATATATATATATATATATATATATATATATATATATATATATATATATATATATATATATATATATATATATATAAAAAAATAATATTTGTTAACTGTTAGTAATGTACATTGTGTGGTTGCGGCAAAATAATGAGTAAAAAGTATAGTATAAAGTGAGTGTAGGATACACGCTGCATACTGATCGATCGAGAGCAAGCGAAAATCTGTGACTAGTATATAGTTAACTGTGAGCGAAAACTGACAAACGTACAGTCCTTACGGATGCCCGTACCGTCAACATGCACAGTATCAATACCGAAAATAACGTTATATTATTCGGTTAATTGGAAATTTTCTATTAAGAGCCCTCTTACATTTCGGCGTTACGCAAATTTAGGTATTTACGTCCCGAGCGGGCGATGACCTACGCGAGCGACACTTTATTTCTTATTTTTTCAATCGCTCGCACTACGTTACTGTGAGAATAGCGACTAAACGATCTTTATCTTCCATTATGCACGTTTTCTTAAAGTGGAATTCAGTGGATGGAAAATTTTTAGTGTGTCATTTTATGTTAGGTATCTAATTAATTTATTATAATTTATTTCATATATTTTTCATTATTTATGAACCTTAATTTTCACATAAGTACACATAAATATTTTAATTGTTTCACAGTAATCGATTGTGAACCGTTATTGGTTAATAATCGATTATATCCACTAACGGTAGCATAGTGGTATAAATAAATTATAGTACAGTTGCAACATGTTTTAATAAATAAAATAACCAACTGTTAGTTATATTTTTTTAATCGGTACTTACAGTCAATTACTATATTTTTATTATAAAAATATTGGCCGCAACGGAATTGACCGAGCTTATCTCGAGTCAATCTTTCATATCAATATTTCTATTTTAATAAAATTTAGTCTAGATGACTCCTAGTATTACTGTATTTGTTGATAAAGTTATGATCAATCACAGTTATAATCGGTTCATCCATTCCGTAGACGCTCGGACACACAAACAAAAATTTTAAAAATGGTTACTCATGTCTCAATAGCATCCAAATATTTTATACAAAAACATTAACAAACAAAATCAACAATACAAAATATAAAGAATATAAAGAAAACTCCAAATGCTTCGTAGCGTTCCAACGACAATTCTGACTGAAGTTATAGAACGTAGGAAAAACGCATATCGTAACGTAGTTTTTTGCAGTCCTTACCGGCGGGTGTGAGTATAAATAGTGACAGTATGTGAACAAGAGGTGAATAGAAGCGGCGCTATTTTCAATCCCATTCTTTAATCGCACAGTTTCACCGTAGACATGGTGATAAATAACGTCACGGTGAAATGTCAAATCAGCCATCTCGGTGTCACGGTGACTTTGTTTCACCTAACTATTTTCTACGTTACTCCTGACTCCGTTTCGGAAACCGAACCACGCGTATGTACTGGAACGGTACGAGGGTGACACTGAAAGTTCTTAGAAAATCAAAAACTTAACAAACTAGCAAGTTATTAGTTTTATTATATATTTTCAAAATAATGTCCATTTACATCAATACATCGCTGCATCCGATAGAACCACTGAGAAAAGCACTCGTCCTTACGTGTCTCTTCGACGGCATTTTTAAACGCAGCCACCGCTTCCTGGGCGTCCGTAAAACGATTTCCTCTAAGTTTTTCTTTTATTTTCGGAAATAAATTAAAATCGCAAGGTGAGAGGTCGGGGCTATAGGGCGGGTGACCCAGTAATTCCACGACTGAAGTCGCCAAGTAGTCGATTGTTTGCTTGGAAGTGTGCGACGAGGCATTTTTTTATATAGGAGAGGGTCTAATGAGCATACGGTTCACCTGATGTTAAGTGACTACTGCAGCACATGAAGAACTGCAACACCAGGGGAATTGCAGATACGTTGCTGGCCTTTTGGAAAGGAGAAAGCTCTTTTCCAAAAGGCCAAAAGGCT